AACAATATGAATCCGCAGGCACCTGGCCAAGAGGCCACACATCCGAGGTTTGGCCAAAGCACTGGAAGCCATGGTAGTTACTGTCCTTGATGGATTGCCAACCTCAACGCGTCCTTCCTGGCTGAGGTACACACAACTGCAGTCAGAAGTGAAACTGTTGATCTCTCATCCACTTCTCTGTTGATTGGCTTGGGTGACAGGCAAATGGACTCCTTGGTCTGGTAACAAATACCCAGGAAGCACTGCTGAGTTAAGAGATTCCTAAATACATACAAAGTGGTGAGGTCTAGCAGGCAGGCAGAGTCTGCACCTGGTGAAGGCTAAAGGATACAGGGCCTATAATGAGGAAATATGATTACAGATACATTGCAGTACACTAGAAATGACCATTTTTGTTAAACCCTGTAAATATCTTGTGAATAGTGTATGTGTAGTGTGTGTTCAAAGAATTACTTGAACTTCTGTCCAACCTGTTTGGCACTTAAACTCTTTAATATTCTGGAAGCCTCAAAAAAATGGAAGTGGTCAGGGTTTCTTTAAAGCTCTTGGAGGGGCTTGGCACCCGAAGCACAGTGATTATGGCACCAACCACGTACACTGAGGCTGGAGGGTTCAAACCCAGCCAGGGCCAGCTGAACAATGATGACTGTAACAAAAAATAGCTGTGTTGTGGTGGGCCCCTTGTAGTCCCAGCTACTTGGGAGGCTGAGGCAAGAGAATTGCTTTGAGACCGGAAAAGTGGCGCCCCAGCCAACTCAGCCGAGTGGGACTTGGGGACCTGCCACCTCTGTCTTGGTGGCAGCAGCCGCCAGAAGAACCAACCGGCAGGTTGGAGCAAGGGGATGGGAGCTTCCCTCCCCCATCAAAGGTTCCAGTAGAGCGGCGCTAGAGGACCTGCTGGCTCTGCCTTGGCGGCAGCTGGCACAAAAACCAACAGGCTGGAGCAAAAGAGGGAGCTTCCCTCTCCCAACAGAGGCTCCCGTAGCCAAAAGAACTGAACACGTGCGGGTAAAGACACTGGCGCCGTTGTGCTGTCTCCTCACGTGGACTCCTGGATTCCTCCAGTGCATCCCTGACTGGTCCATTTTCAAAACCTATTCACGATTAGTCTATTTTCAAGACCCAAAAGCTCATTGGACAACTGCCCCTGTATAAGCCAGAGACCCTGAGCACAGACTTGGGCAGATCTCAGGAGAAGATCAAAGAGGTTTGGCTCTGTAACACTTCTACCCTGCTCTATGAAATTTGCCCCTTTGTAGGAGCTGTAAACACTCACAAGGAGGTTTGCTCCTTTATAAGAGCTGTAACACTTGTATTATAAAACCTATCTTACTGCTAATCCTACTCTACAAGGAGGTTTGGCTTGTTATAAGAGCTGTAACACTTATACCTGTTGCATAAAACCTATCCTGTGGTCCGTCGCTTCATTCTTTGAACCGCCGAGACCAAGAGCCTGGAAATTCAGTACCAAAAATCCGGTAACAGCTTGAGCCCAGGAGTTTGAGGTTGCTGTGAGCTGTGACTCTACCCAGGGTGACAATTTGAGACTCTGTCAAAAAAAAATAAAAGTTCTTGGAGGCCCAGAAAAAAGTAGTGGTTAGTGAAACACATTTCAGAGTCATCAGCTCTCAAGCATTAATTAAAGGGAATGTAGGGGTTCACCCTGATACCAGATTTTTGATACTGAATTTCCAGGCTCTTGGTCTCAGCGGTTCAAAGAATGAAGCGACGGACCACAGGATAGGTTTTATTCAACAGGTATAAGTGTTACAGCTCTTATAACAAGCCAAACCTCCTTGTAGAGTAGGATTGGCAGTAAGATAGGTTTTATAATACAAGTGTTACAGCTCTTATAAAGGAGCAAATCTCCTTACGAGTGTTTACAGCTCTTAGAAAGGGGCGAACCCCCCTGTGAGTGTTTACAGCTCCTACAAAGGGGGCGAATCTCATAGAGCAGGATACAAGTGTTACAGAGCCAAACCTCTTTGCTCTTCTCCTGAGATCTGCCCAAGTCTGTGCTCAGGGTCTCTGGCTTATACAGGGGCAGTTGTCCAATGAGCTTTTGGGTCTTGAAAATAGACTAATCGTGAATAGGTTTTGAAAATGGACCAGTCAGGGATGCACTGGAGGAATCCAGAAGTCCACGTGAGCAGACAGCACGGCGCCAGTGTCTTTTTTTTTTGGGACGGAGCCTCAAGCTGTCCCCCTGGGTAGAGTGCCATGGCAT